AGCTGCACAGTATGATCCAGGGACTTGAAGTTACACACTCATTACTGTTACACTTAAGCAATTCATAGAGAGAGAGATAGAGAATACATGCCACTCCTTGTACATAAAGTTATCTCTTGGACACTAGTGACGTCAGTGCAGCTGGAGGAAGTGAAGCAAGTTAATTAATCACAGTTGCATCACTACAAAACCTCGCTTTTGCGTTTAAATGTACCATGTGTTCTCAGTTTGGATGAGTCAAGCTAGTGTCAGGTGTGATGGAAATAAAACCAAAGCCGGTCATTTAAAGTTTTCCACAGGCTGTTCCCGACAGGTGGTCTGCTTTTTGTGTTAATGTAATTATAGTGCTAAAAACATTTGTACATTATGAAACTGTACTGAGCTATTGTTAGCCACGGCATGGAAACAAATGTATGTAAAGTAAACTACTAACACGGTATATTTTTTCATGCAATATCGCTACATAATTCTTAATAAATTAAACTTTTTTACCTTCCACGCAACCACAATTCTTCATATCAACCCAGCCTTCAATGTACAATGTTATCCATAAATTTTGTAAAAGACATTTATAAGGTTGCATATTGAGCACAATCTGGAACCTGCAAACTAAATCAACATTTACAAATTATAAAAACATATACAACTGTGCAATTAATCAAATTTGAATCAAGATTGAGATTCAATAAATTCTAATAGTCAGTTATAGTATGTTTTTAATCTACAGCCAGTCCTGTCAAAGCATGTCATTTGGAGCAGAGTTTAAACTTTCAAGGACAGAATTTTCTCATAAATTGTGTGATTCAAGTCTGTATTGTTTGTGTTCATGAAACCAATGTTGAAAGACATCTTCATTTGTTTTTGTTGAATTGATTTGACTGATCAATATGAGAAATAACATTGTGGCTCCTGCTTTTGTTGTATCGGCCCAGCCCTAACACATTTAAAACACTTATATTGAAACTCTTCATGGCCCATTTTTTTATGATAAGAGCCAATCAAGAGCCACTCCTCAAACGACTGTGTTGATCCAGGCTGACCTCCTTTCTCACATAAACATTATTATATGGTGTCGTGTGTGCTATCAGCTCCTTTACCACCTGCACATTATGAAATCCACTACAGGGCGAGGACTGTTTACAGGGCCATATACTGCACCACTGCTGAGCACCTTCTTCTATGTGAATGTATGGAGGAGGAAGAAGTAGCCTTAGTTACCTCTCATATATGGCCTTATAACATGTCATAAACACACCGATTTGAATATGAGTCAAAGAAGTTCAAAATACAAGGTGCACTATGCAATCTCTCTGGTGAAAGGTCCACCATCTGCTGGTATTTAGGGAGATGTCATTGTTTTGCCTGAAATATTCCACATTATAGCATTAAAGTTATGTATGTTGCATTTATTCATTTACAAATCACAGATCTGACCTGGCCTGGTGTCATCACATGAGACTGTTACCATATTGTGAAACATTTCTGGCCTTGAAATGGCATTTCAATGTAGACAAGCAGACCCTCCACCAAATGAGTTACACAGAACAACTTAAAGCATTAGAAGATCTTTTGGGGACATAATATTTTAGTGTTTAGCATCTTATTTTGTATGTTTAGTATCTTAGTGATATATTTATATTTTTTGTTATGTCTGCAGTAAGTGTATTATTATTATTGAAATGTGATCTGTGTTAATGTCCAACTTTTACATTGCACTTTTAACAATCAAGGGATTAATATAGAAAATGGCACAGTAGTGACAGTCTGTTTTATTACCTTGTGGGTTCTGAATCCCAGTAATAATAAGCTGCCTAATTACCTCTCACGTGGCCATTCTAATTAAAATGATGGAGCTGAACTGTTGTATGTCTGTTGTCTGGGCATTAGGCTGCTGGACCAGGGGCTCGTGTCCGCAGGGCCACAGGGAGAAACTAATGAGAAATGGGGTCAGGAGAGGAGACTAGAGGACGGTGGACAGATGTTTAAAGAGAATTCACGCATATTCTGGCTCTTCCAGTTCAGATGAAAAATGGAAAACAAATATATGCTCAGAGGAATTATGCTTGCATTGTGACTAAATCTGTATACTACAACTTGGGTCATGATTTCAATTTATCATCATAGCACAGGGCCATATGTCACTGACACATAAAGGAATTATATAAAATTATAGATAATCACAGATCCATGGATAACTGCGACCACCAAAACCTAGAGCTAGGCCTGTCACAATAACAAACTTTGAAGCACAATATATTCCAGAAGTAAATATAGATAATAAATGATAATACTGAAACTGTCACTGGTACACTAACCAGATTTAAACCACAATAACTATTGTAAATCTACAGCATGATTCAAATAAATAAAACAGCAGAATGAAACACTTTAGTACTTAGTGTGAGTATTAGAAGTTATTAATTCAACCTTTTACAGCTCAAATCTAATCATATAACCAAAAGTTTCCCCAGTAGTGCAAAGAAAAATTATACACGATAAATATTGACCTCGCCTGTCAATCTGTCACCTGTTTGATTTATTGTCAGATATATCCACCTGTCACTAAATCAAAAGCATAATAGGGACTCGCCAATAGGAGGAGTTGGTGAGGAAGTTGCACTATTCCTGTTTAAGCTGAGTTTGAAAGAAGCTTTTTGATTTCTTTTGAACTCTAATTTGCTGATGTAATCCTGACTGTTGAAGAGAATAATGCTGTATTTACCACCATTGTATCTGATTTGGGTGGACTATTAAAACTGGATTTGTTGCTTGTTGTTCTCCATTATTCCCCTAAAACAACATCATTGTTCTTCAGAATTTTCTTATCATTTAAAACAGTTGTCTAAGGGGTGTGTCCAATTTGCTGTTAAAAGTGTGGCTTTGGACTCAAGAGCAGACATGTTTTGGAATGTGACCCAGAAGACATTACTGTAAACCACAGCCATCATTATTATTATTATTCATTTGCTCAAGATAAGATTAACCCTTTAAATCCCTCTATTTCGACTGTGAATCTTGGTTTGTTTTCATTCGGTCTCTATGGGATGTCTACCACCACGTTGTGTCCTGCGCTAGTCTAAACCTGTCCAACCAGCTGGCACATGTACAGTGTGGACAATGACTTCTCTTCTAAGACACATATTTTCCTATTTGACAACTTCATTCATTGGACAGAGGCCTTTGTGGCTAGGGAGCTTATCTGTAATCCTACCTTCCTTATCCAAACACGTGGTTGCATAATGCTGCGCTGCCTACTTTATCAGCCTGTGTGCCTATGTCTCACTGATTCAATAAAGGCATCAATAGGTCTGTTGTTATTGGATCATCATTATAGGGAATGTGCAGGTTCAGCAGTCGATTGCAATCCTGGTTTGTCTTTGTCTAGCAATGTGCTTTGAAGTCATAAATGCTAACCTAAGCTAACCTATTATTATTAATTGGATAGACAATTTATTGTATCTATAATGCCATAATAACACAATACCCAGATAAAATGGGTATAACATTGAATTTAACTTTTCTAGTGGGGGGTCTGCCTTGTTGTCTCCACATGTTGGAATGGAAATGTTATTGATTTGTCTAGCATGTTCCACAGTATCTTTGAAATCTATCCATCACAAGGGAGACAAGCAGGTTACAGCACTACGCTACATTACAAGTCAGATCTATGGAGAGTTGCCCCTATTCATATTCACATTGTATTTTAGAGCAACAGAAACTTGTAATGAATAAATGCTAAATGGATTTGTTTAATTTCATACCATGGAACATTCTAGGCAAAGCAATAACATCTCCATGGAGACAAACATGAACTTGTACCGTGCACCTTTAACTAACAGCAATGTTCATTTGTCCAACTTAATGTTAATTTGACCCTGACATAATAAAGAAAAAAAAATTCAAATCTATATTTTGCCTTTATTCAAGTGAACATCTGCATGTCTCCATAGAGATCAATATGTTTAATGCTATACAGTAGAACATTTCCGGCAAAGCTATTACACAGAGACAGTCAGGTGGCAGACCCTTCACCTGAAAAGTTATATTGTGCACATTTAAAAACACACTTAAAATCTGACATCTTCTTAACCCTATCATGGATCTTTTCAGAAATAAAAATTCACCTCTTTTTGTTTTTTCTTGCTGGCAAAACCATAGCCAAAACATAGCCCCTTTGCGAGATGGAGGTGATTATCCAGTTTAGCAGTAACCCCTATCTTCACTTCCATGCAGTACAATTGGTACTTTTTGTGACTAAGTTGTTCCCTGAAATGACACATCAGTGGAGAGGTGCGGGTTGCTACAGTCGTTTTAACTCAGTGGAAATCTCCGCGCCTTTGCCAGGATAAATACACTCTCCTCTTTCTTTCTCCTATTCCTATTGTAGATGAATACCAGATTTTCTCATGAAACTGATCCAAGAGGTGACCGTGCAGTTAGAATTTACAGTTTAGAAAGTCGCTGATTGAACGCATGTGTTATGTAAGCTGTGAGGTATATGATGGATAATGGTATGAGCTATGCACAGCCAGACTCATTAATAATCATGCATACTTAGTTTTTTTAAATTATTGTTGGATTTATCAGTTTTTCTATGAAGTTTAAGTTTGGTCTAGTCATTACAACCTGGTAGGAAACTAGGAATATGAGTAAATGAACTGTGACTTTTATGGGTCAGATTTACAGCCAAGTTATGTTGATACTGAAAGGGTCTGTACCCAGTTTTGAACCATGAAGAGCTTGTTTCAGAATTAACTCAGTTGCTTTCTAATCATTCAAATAATTCCTGAACTAGAAGAAAACTCAGGGATGCTTTCAATATTGAGAGATCTTTCACAGTGCCACGCCTTGCTCACTTATTCATGGACTAATTGCTTTGCAGAGCAATGAGTTCATTTCTTTTGTCAATCAAGAATTTTCAGTCTTATAACTAAGTAATTATAGTCCAAGACCAAAATTTTGAGATCTTTTATGAATTCACTTTTTTTTTTTTTTTTCAGTTTGCCAAGGCATCAATAATCGGTTGAACCTTCTCGGCACCAAAGATGACCACTACCAGAACATGGTGAAGACCTACAGCAACTGCACTGTGGTCCTGGAAAACCTGGAGATCACCTACATGGAGGAGCACCGAGACCTGTCCTTTCTGAGGGTACAGACATGTCTGTTTTACTCCGTAACAAAACCAAGTTAAAGTCATTTATGGTTAAGAGCAGACAGTTATTTGATCTGGCTGAAACAGTAATGTCAATCTAAACTAGATCACAAATTGCATAATCACAAAACCAAAACCAATTATTTTGGTAATGGAATATTCTCTGGAAATAACAAAACATCTTATTCCTCTTAAAATGCCTTGACAAGACTTAATCCAAAGCACTAAGACTTAAAAGTGCTTACAACTGTTATTTCTTCATGTAGTCTATGAAATGGAGCAAAGGATGTCTGTCTTTTTTGCTGCACCATAACTCTTAATTTAAGCAAAGAGACTTGTAATTCGATATATATTGTGATGGTATAATGTGCTAAGTAATGTCTGGGCATAGATTCTTTTTGCAATCTTTACTCTTTACCCTCTGAGTCTGTCCATATCATACCAATTACATTTGCATCTTACTCTGACTTAGCAGAAACCGCAAACAAAAGTTGAGGGAGTAGTATCCACCGCCAAGGTTTTTTTTTTTAATCATGTGACTATTTTTGTTTATGGAAGTCTTACATAAATTTTGTACGCTATTCAAGTTAGGCTAAAAGAAGTCAAGATTTATTGTAAAAGGGACACAAATATTGTTAAGAGTTCACTTCATCTCAGTGCACCTGTAAGATAAAACTTCTTTGATCTCAAAAATTTCCAGTGCTCCATTCTTCTGCTGATGCTTTGTAGATGAACCGTGTGGTATTTTTTGAGTTTCGCCTCAGTTCAGATAATTAAAATCATTGTTGTGTGTCCTTCTTCTCACACGATACTGATGTTTAGATCACTCTCTCTTGTTGAGGTTTCATCTCTGCAGCTGCAAAGTCAGGACCACACACGTGAACCCAGACATAAACAAAACAACAGATGAGGGCATGCCACAATATCAAAACATCTACAGTTAATCCAATACAAATTTGAACTTCAAACCTTTAAGATGGCTCATTCAGTTTTTTTAAGTCTCTAGACTCATTTATGTTCGCTGACTTTGTTGAAAATCTGAAAATACGCTCCTTTCATGGTATTTAAATAGTATATAAACTTCTATCCTTGTATTGATTCATCACAATTTTAGATTTTATTTGTTTGTTTTTTCAGTACTTCATATTTTAACACTTTATGCCCACAGTCTATTGAAGATGTGGGGGGCTACGTCCTCATCGCGCTCAACACAGCGTCTAGGATCCCTCTGGACAACCTGCGCATCATTCGAGGTCACAGTCTCTATACCAACGGCTTTGCTCTTGCTGTTTTGGGAAACTACAACAAAAGTTTAGGACGAGGAACTAATGAGCTTCTCTTAAACAGTCTGACAGGTGAGCCATATTTTCATGCACACTGATTGTACAATATTAAAACCACTTACTGTATAGTCATGGTTGTTGTTAATGGCTGCAATATAAGATGGATAGAAGTACTAGTGCTGGTTCATGATTCATCATAATGACTTGTGGGATGTCCTGGTATGTAGAAGTCAGTAAGTTTTGTGTGGGATGGGATTGTGTGGGCAAGATCAGACTGACGGAGCTTACTCTGGACCAGACAGAATACTTCTATTTTTAAAGGGCCCTTATTATCCTATTTCCTGGTCTGTGTTTTAATGTTGTTTCCTCATCAGAAACAAGCCTGGAGTTGTGTTTCATTTGCACATGTTTAACACACAAACCCTGTATATTTAGGCTGAGTTCTTCTCTCAAACAAAAAACACTCTTTTGATGTCCTCTGTGTTTTAAACTCCATACACCTTCACTAGAATTAGTTGGATGATTTCAGTCCTGGAATTTCCAATCTCTTCTGAACAAAATGTAAAAGATAGCTGTTAACCTGAAAACTACCGCTTCATGACACCACAAGGTGGAACTCAGCATTTTCAACTTTGGAGATGTAGACAAATAATGCAGGATTACTCAAACATATGTGAATGAAATACGACACAATAAGGTATGTTTTTGAGAAGGTAACAACATTCTAACATGACTTAAAGTTCACAAGAGTCATTTTAGCATAATATACTTACATAATTTAAGATAGGAGGTTATAATGTTGTATCAGATATATTCTTTAGCCAATAGTCATTTGTTTTTCCCTGTTATTTGTTGACATATTTATATTCTCATGCAGAAATTCTCAAAGGAGGTGTTAAATTTGACAACAACAACCTGCTGTGTAATGTAGAGACCATTCAGTGGTACGACATTGTGAACACTGAGTCAAAACCCAACATGGAACTCCCCGTGGCCAGCAACAAGCAATACTGTAAGCCAATATGACACTGAATGTAAAAGAAATAAAATAGTATCTCAATGTCCTGTAACAATGCAATTTAATCTAACATTTGATACAATCTCTGTTTTATTTCCCAGGTAAGAAATGCGACTCAAGCTGTTTCAATGGTTCATGCTGGGCTCCAGGTCCTCAGAACTGTCAGACATGTAAGTTACAACTTTTGACCAAAATAAAATCTAAATCCCAATTTGAATTGTTGCAATATTAAAGTTGAAGATTATATAACAAAATAACCTGTGTTTTTTAATGAAACAATAAACAGAACTTGCTAATAACCTTGTTCTTTTACTTCAACTGTTCATGCTTCATACTTCTCTTCAATGTTAATGCTCCTAGATGTGCTGAACTTTGGGACTGAGAACTTCAATTTGAATCCTAATTGAAAACATAAAACAAAAAAAAAAGTCCAAGTGTAATTTTCAATAAAATCACAATATTATTTTTTCCCATGAACTTGCTGCTGTAGTTCCAAGCATGTACAAATGCTAATTAACTGAGTCAGAAAAGGAAACAGATTTGTGTTATTTACTTGTGACGTCAGGTTGCTATCAGATCCACACATTTAGCTCAACTTAGCTAATGTTAAAACTGTTACTGAACGTGTTGTGCTCCAGCTAAACAGTAAAACCCTCAGTAAAAATACTTGGCTGTTTATTAACCCCTTTTTGCAATGTGGTACAACAATGATCAAATGGAGCTTTAGATTTGTGTGCCAAATCTTGGAGAGGGAGGAATGTTATGGCTCTGTGTGACCTCAAATGTGCAAAATGACATTGGCTGTATGTGTTTTGTGTTTAATGTATTCATGTTTTTTTCTGTGCAGTTACAAAGCTGAACTGTGCACAACAGTGCTCAAAGAGGTGCAGAGGACCCTCCCCCAGTGACTGCTGTAATGAACATTGTGCTGCTGGCTGCACTGGACCCAGAGCCACAGACTGTCTGGTGAGAATAGTCAAAACAAATATTGAAGAACAATATCAGACAATTCCAATAAAATAGACTTGTAAGTAAAAGATAATCAGCTCATGGTATGTTTTTAGTTTGAAGTACAATTTGGGATGAAAGCCAAGAAAATCTATACAATACTTAATTTCCTCTATATAACTGGACTTAAACAAAGCTTCCAGTCAGCAACATCTGTTTTCTTAATCTTCTATTGCATTTAGCCCCACTGAGACATTTAAGCTGCTACTATTTGTTCTTTTATTTTGTGGGGGTGTCTGCTTTGCCTCTTCAGACAGCTCTGCGTATTAAGCCATGGGTAGATGGAGGAATGCACTGTTATCATTAGCGAGGGGCTCTGTTTTGGTCCACTCCTGTCTGAAGTCTTGTTTGTCTTGGTCCAGGCCTGTCGGGACTTCCAGGACGATGGAGTGTGTAAGGACTCCTGCCCCGGACTCATGCGCTACGACCCCAATCTGCACCAGCTGGTCCCCAATCCACATGGCAAATACAACTTTGGGGCAACTTGTGTCAAGAATTGCCCACGTAAGAGCAACCACAAAGCACAATGATGATTAGGAGTGTCTCCCTCAACTGTAAACACACATGACTTGTAGGGCTGTGCAATCAATCAAATTTTAATAAAAAATTTTGAGATCCATTTATTTTTTCAAATAGTCAATGATCAGCTAGGGTCTTTTTAATGGAGGGGGTCAATCCTGTCAGTAAAAACATGGGGTCCTATATGACTATTAACTTAATTATTATTAAGTGACTCTTGTGAGCTTTAAGCCATGTTATAATGTTACCTTCTCAAAAACATACCTGGAGTTTTGTTTTGTTTCATTCACACATGTTTTAGTAACCCTTTATTATTTGTTTGTCTGCAAAGCTCAAAATGCTCTATTCCTCCTTATGATGTCATGTAGTGGTACTTTTCAAATTAACAGCTAGTTTTACCTTTAGTTCAGTAGAGATTGGACAGGGCTGAGATGATCCAAATGATTCTAATGAGCATGTATTGACTTTAAAAACACGGTGGAGCACTTTCTGTATTACCACATGACATCACAATGTGGAACAGAGTGTTTTCTGTTTGAGAGAAGAACTTAACCTAAATATGCAGGGTTTGTGTGTTGAACATGAATGAAACAAAACACAACTCCAGGTCTGTTTGTGATGACAAAATAACATTAGAACAGAGATCAGAAAATACTGTAATATGTCCACATATGTCAAGATCTGGAGTGATATCTCGCTTACTGCTGCTGACAGGTTACGCCATTTGCATTGTAGAATGGGTCAAATACAGAGTGAAGATTTCCATATGGGTCCAAAAGTCTTACCTTAATCTACCTTAATAAATGTACAGTTTTTTTAGATCAATAATGAGCAATGGTGGACTAAAATGATGGTGATGTAAAATTATATCACTAATTGGAGTGTTTTAAGAAATCCTGTTCTATTTTAAGACATGGCAAAATACTCACTTCACACAGCAAAATAATGAATCATTATTTATAGACTTAATAATGAGCTTAGCATTCAAAAAGTATGTATCCCTTAAGCAGATTTTGTTTTGCTTTTTTTTACGCTTGAGTTTGGGACTAGACAAAACTTCCATTGTAAAACAGAAACAGTCTTCAGTTTGTTTCCTTTTGCCTTCCTTTTAAAACTTATTTCAAAGACAGTGCAGTGGTTTGTAATATTAGTGTTTGCTTTATCCTGTCTCAAAGGTTAGAGTTTGTCTAGTCATCCATGACCAAGAGCTGTTTCACATTGGGACACGTAAAACAAGGATGTCCTTTTAGACATTCTGTGGTTACAGTTTGTCTCAGGTTTAATTATAAACAGTGTATGTAACATGTGTTAATGTAACAACTGTTCTATCTGAGTTTAACTTGCACAGTTGTGGTCAGGCTTTACTGACTAACCTGGCTTTTGTACTAAAATGAATGGTTTAAGTGGGTATAACTGTATTCATTTTAACATGGTTACATATGTTAGCATTATTATAACATACTATACAAGTGCAATTTTTTTATAGATACATGCTACATTAGCATCAAACTATATTATCCAGGTCAGTTAACTAAAATATTGCTAAATAACCTTGGTCATTGCAACCACTTTGCAAAACCACTAATTTTGTTGCCATCAATTGGAACAAGAGTTATTATTTGAGGAGCCATACACTAACAATTTAGCACTTGATTGTAATGCTTGTAATGTTTTATATGGTCTCAACCAGTGGTGGATATTAATGAAGTATACAAGTAAAAGTACAATACTTGAGTACAAAATTTAGGTATCTGTATTTTACTTAAGTACATTTTGCAGTGGATGCTTTTACTTCACTACATACTTCACTGCTTTACTTGAGAATGTGTATCTGTGCTTTCTACTCTACTACATTATAGATCTGGAGTGAAAAGTAAAAAGAACTTGGTTGAGACTTTTTTAGCACATTTAATTTGAGTTTCCATCCCATTCAGCTAAATTTGTTATCAGTAGTACTATAGTTCTTTAAAGTGTTATAAAAATGTCTGCAGTTCTGCAAAATATTTTTACTTTATACTCTTTCATTTTTAAACAGATACTTTAATACTTTAACTTCAGTAGATTTTTTCATGTGATACTTTTACTTGAATAACTTTTTGAATATTTGAATCTCACTGCATGTTGTTAAATGTAAGAAATAAAAGATTTATGCATTTGTATGTGAAATGTTTGATCAGATAACTATGTGGTGACTGACCATGGGGCGTGTGTGCGGACGTGCAGCGGTAACACTTACGAGGTGGACGAGGGAGGAATCAGGAAGTGTGCCAAGTGTGAAGGCCTCTGCCCCAAAGGTGTGTGTCACTGTACAGTAGAGCAAGAGTAAAACTGGATTTCTCTGATTATCAATACTTACACAACATGCCCATGACTCCCAGCTGATTCATTTGTTATGGACAAACATTCATTACTCCAGGAAGTAATGAGTAAAGTAAAAAGAGGTGCACTTTGAGAACCTCTCATGATTTTAAAATGTTTTTACTGATTATGACTTGCAGTATGTAGTGTAGTCATTTATAGTCATATTTATTGACATTATGAATTAAAAAATAGAAATCCCCCATCCACTGTCAATGTAAATTGTGGGTCCAGTTGAAGCTATTCAGAACGGATATCCAAAAAAGTTAAAGAAACATGTTTAGTTCCAAAAGGTGCACTATGTAACTTTATATTACTGTTTTTATTTTGTATTTTGTATTTATTCAATGACAGATGCCCAGAATACATTCTACAAGCCTGTAACTTGGCTTGGAGGCATCACCTGCTTGCTTATATTCATTCAGTGTCATACTGTGGAAAAGCACAGCAATTACATCTCCATGGCGATGAGCAAGCGGCTTCTACTAGAAAAGTAGTCTACATTTATCCTGTTTTTTTTAAAAAGGAATTTAAGAAAATAAAGACAATTCAGCTTCAAACATGGCTTGCTTTTTAAAAAGCACATCTTGAATTTCCCTTAGTCCCTTCAGGTATTATCATTTTTCTTTTGTGTGAACAGTGTGCAATGGCCTTGGCATGGGAGACCTCGCTCACACTTTGTGCATCAACGCCACCAACATCGAGACCTTCAGAAACTGCACCAAAATCAATGGCAATATAATTTTGATCCACACCTCAATTCATGGGTATAAACAATATTCTTTTTTCACTTTCTTTTTTCAATATTGCAGCAGCATATTAAACATATTTAGTCTTATATTACTTTTTAAATTATTTGATTTCAGCGATAAATTTACCAATACGCCCAAAATGGACCCTGCTCAGCTTGATGTCTTCAAAACGGTCAAGGAAATCACAGGTAAGGTCACTGCTATTATGATTTATTTTTATTATTATTATTTTTTTAAATGCATATGGCAGCTTGTTTTTCTATTTATTATGTAGTTTGGTGGGCTAATGTCTGTGGTTAATATTGTCATAGTTTCATTTAAGTGTCAGTTTGTGAAGAAAAGTTGGAAAAGAAGCTTTAAAATTACAAGAAGTGGATCTGATTTATAAATAGAACCCCTCCAATGTTTTCAATATACAAAATACCATAAAAAATGCAGAGCTATTTACTCACAAGAATCACATTTTCTGGTATTCATTCATTTATTTTACAGGTTTTCATTTATTTCTATTTCACAATTCATAACTATACTGTAAATTATGTGAGCTTTGTGGAGTATAGTTGTTAGGTGACATATTTTAGGGAATATGTAAGTATTTTTACTCCTCATGTCCAACCTGGAAGTAAAATTTCACCAGAATTGTCAAAGTAAGGAAAATTATGCAAAGCTTTTAGTAAGAGCGTACATAGAATTATATTAACTACAACTACATGTATATTTGGTTAACTTTTCATATACACTTTCAACAAATGTGCCTCTTGCTTCAGGATACCTGTGGATCCAGACATGGCCCAAGAGCATAAACTCACTCAGTCCTTTTGAGAATTTGGAGATCATTCGGGGAAGGACTAAAGCAAGGTAATGCCTCTTTATATCAAATGTCATCATATACTTGGTGCTTTAGTAGGCTACATACAGATACAGTTGTTATAACAATATCTAACAATAGAAATTATGTAACAACTAATTTTGGTGGTAATCTAGATAGTTGGTTCTAGTCATACAAGTTTACTGTTACATGGGTTAATGACACCAACAGTATGGTACTGCTATAGTCAATGGGAACGTAGGGAAGTTCCATTAGTTACAATTGCTACAATGTCTGTTTAGAATAATAATATTAAACATATTTAAGTATTATTTCAAGTATAAATTAAATAAAATATTTATTCATTTTCAAGAAGTGTGTGTCATCTTGTAGCTTTGTTGTGTCTAGTTATGGAGTTATTCAGAAACAAATATAAATATTATATCAGAAAACTCTGATTCTACTGTGAAATATTAGGGTCTCAAGGTTCAACATTTTGGGAATCCACATCAACAACATCATGTGGATTTGTTCTTAGCTTTGTTGTTACATTGTTTTGTTTTTCAAAATGTTTTTTTCTTTTTTTTTTTTTTTTTTCCCCAAATATTCAACAGTATTTCTTTCTCTTTGCAGTGGCAGCCGGAGTCTAGCTATTGTCCAGCTGGACATCGAGTATTTGGGTCTGCGCTCTCTCAAGGAAATCAGTGATGGGGATGTGGCCATTATAAAGAATCAAAACCTTTGCTACACAAACGAAAGCCACTGGTCACGCCTCTTCAAATCAAAAAGCCAAACAGTCACCTTGGACAAAAACTCAAATGAAGCCACATGTGGTAAATCTATTTTCTCTCCAGCCAGATGTCCAGACAGACTTCATTTATCTGAATCTAATCTCAAAATTAGATAATTGCAGAGGATGAAAGATTTCTCATTACGATTGTAGACAACATGCACCAAGCGTACTCTGTAATTGGGACCAATATTGTAAAAATAGTAGTATTAGACAGGAAGTAAAAATGCCATCTTCAAAGTTATAAGCAACATTTTTAAACAACACAACATAATAAAGTAAAAATAAAATTTAAAATATGATTAAATCTCAGTGTATCAGAGTTTGTTATAGGTGTGGACAATATGCCAAAATGATAAAACAAAGTTAATTTATAATAACATAATAAGATTCATAAATATTAAAAAAAAGACAAATAAGTGCCTAGATCACAATTTCGATTTCATCACAATTCGTATACACTTAGTTATCACTAAAGAGAGCAGGAAAGTTAGCATATAGTCACAGGGACCAATTGTTGCTAAATATTGATATTATTATTTTTTTAATACTTGTTATACATTTATACATGAACATTTCTTTGTAGCCTTGAAGAACAACACTTGTGACAGGAAGTGCACTGCAGATGGCTGCTGGGGCCCAGGTCCTGACTCGTGTTTTGCCTGTCGAGATTTCAGCCGGGACGGGAGCTGTGTGGACAACTGTAACATCCTGGAGGGGTAAAGAACCAAGGCTTTTTAACTGCCTTTTAAGCTCAAAATGCTGCTGTTATTTTAGTCTAAGGAGATCTGGTAACTCCTTTTAAGTCTACAATCATCTTTGAGCATTTCCAGAGTCTTGAGTGTGTGAATTTGTCAATAAGTCAAAACAAAGATTATTTTTTTTAGTTAGTTGAAGTCAAACAGGACAGGACAGCAAAAATGGCACATTTGTTTATCTTCTGTCAAACATTGAATCTCGCCATGCTTATAATTTAACTCCAGGCCTCAGACAAGTATGAGGAATTCACTTTGCATAAAACTGTTTGTGATGCTGGGCACTAGCCATCACTCTGACAGCTCTTGTTTTCTTTTTTTCCTTCAGTGAGCCAAGAGAAGCTGTGGTGAATAAAACCTGCGCAGCATGTCATCCCGAGTGTCTGCCTGTGAACAGGACGGCAACCTGCAGTGCACCTGTATGTATCAAAGAGAACTATCACAGATTCATACTAGGGCTGTGTTTACACTCAAAATTGGGCCTAAAGTCAGACTAAACCTTGACTAAACCCTGACTACACCAGGACTAAACCCTGACTACACCAGGACTAAACCAGGACTAAACCTTGAATACACCAGGACTAAACCAGGACTAAACCCTGACTGCACCAGGACTAAACCAGGACTAAACCTTGAATACACCAGGACTAAACCAGGACTAAACCTTGACTACACCAGGACTAAACCAGGACTAAACCTTGACTACACCAGGACTAAACCAGGACTATACCTTGACTACACCAGGACTAAACCAGGACTATACCTTGACTACACCAGGACTAAACCAGGACTACACCAGGACTATACCAGGACTATACCAGGACTAAACCAAGTGTACTAGTCCATCACAAATAATTAGAATATCATGGAAAAGTTAAATATTTTTTGTCACTTGTCAGTACTTGGTTGGGCCTCCTTTGCCATAAAGTTTCAAGAAATAAACTCTTGAAATATTTTATTCTATGTGTCATGAGTCTATATAATATATAGGTTTGACTTTCTGAAACAAAAAAAATAGAACTTTTTCATGATATTCTGTTTATTTGTGATAGACTAGTAGATCTGGACTAAACTGGATTGAAAACCAGGACCAAACCAGGACTTATTGGGATTATAGACATCATATTGTGTTGAATGTAGCATTTCATATATAAATATTTTCATGACCCCACTGGAGATAATGAAATCATTTTAAGTAACAATGAATGAGGAATGAATACATAATGATTTGGAATTTGTTGGAACAAATCTATATATCACTAACAATGAGTAAAGTTGAGCTAACCCACTCTTTATTCCAGCCCCAAGCCCAGATAAATGGAGAATGACAAATAAATTCCTAATTACTGCTGAGTAAAAAAATAATATAAGAAAGCTTAATATGTGATTTTTAGTTGAGTTTAATTGAGTTTAGTTTAGTTTATTTTTTTTTTTTTTTTTTTTTTTTTTTTTGAGTTTACCAATTCCTAAAAATAATTTTAAAATAATCTGCCCTAAACCCTTGTAACTATTAAGCCACAGCATCTGTATTGCTAAATATGTTTGAAAATTACTGAGAAGTCTATATTCATCCCTGTACGTGCTCTCTCTGTTACACATTGTGATGTAGCAACAAAGCTCTAAACAGAGGCTTGAATGGATGATAATACAGTAGCCACAAGACATGTTATATTTTGAGTAACAGGCGTGGTTGTGAACTAGCTTATACCTCGTCTTATTTTACACACATAATCCAGTCTTTGGTTCAAAACAAAAGCCTCCAGGACAGTTTCTCAAAAGTGGCTCTGGATAAAGTAGGACAACATTGTTTAAAGAAGATCTAGACAGATAAGGAACAGATTAAGGAATGGCATTAGATTTCAAGATGCAACACTTAAAATGGCTTTCTGTAAATCTTGGTGAGAAACATCTAACATTTAACTATAATATTTGATTTTAATTTGAATGCTCTTTTGTTACAATCATTTTCTCTGCAAGCAACAAAATATTTAGTCTTATTATGGATAAAACTTGCTGTAGTTTTGATGTTGAACTTAATCTTAATGATAAAACCTTAATTGCACATCTAATCCCAAAACCTGGCAAAATATGATTATTTTTTCTCCAAAGTTGCCCACTATTGTTGCACAATATTTTGCAATCAAATCAAAATTGCTATTTGATTTGCACTGTGCAAAGAACAAAATATGCTGCCTTTTTAAAAGAAAAATCTTACCTCTACCTGGAATTTAAACTATACTTCTGTATGCTTCTGAAATTCATTGGATTCTTGCATTAGTTTATCAGTTCAGATTTCAGTCTCCTCAAATGTTTCTTACAATGTGCACATATAGACTGTAAATGTAACTGCTGCCACGTTCCAAATAAAAAGTGATCATGGGTGTGCTTCCATCATCCCTCTGTACCTGCTGATCTTAGATTCTTTTGGTCTTAAAATGTTTGTATTAACCTGCTCTACATGATCCTGGGCTTTATTTGCCTATTTTGTCCTTAATAACAGACAAATCACGTGCCTTTCCCTGAGGTCATGTCCACTCCATGGCATCTACTCCATGCAAAACCAGCAGTACGGGCAGGAATAGGCTTTACCTTCAACAGTATCACCCCGGATTGGGTCTTTGGTTGCTATGATGCTTCAAATATGGACATTCACCCCTAAAACTGCAAGCCTTGATGGGCTTCATTTGACTGGAAATGCTATGGGTGGCGTCGCACTCCTCTATTCCACTTCTTTATATAGTCTGTGTGTGCACATGATTTTACTTTTTATACATATATTGGAAATCCCACAGTAGCAAATTTGATCTTTTCCTAAAATCATGCAGCCCTACTTTGCATAACCGTTACAATTTATGACTGCTGAATTGACTCTTCTCAAGTGGGTTATAAATCTTGTTTTTCAGGGATCGGGAAACTGTACCAAATGTGCCAACTACAAAGACGGCCTGTTTTGTGTGGCTCGTTGTCCTCAAGGCGTGCCAGGCGAGGGCGACACTCTGGTGTGGAAATACGCCGACGAGATGAAAGTGTGCCAGCTCTGCCACAAGAACTGCACCCGGGGGTAAGAGAGGGTGCACAAGACAGAGGGGCAGTGCCAGGCTAACTACTGCCACTGCAACTCGAAATGACTGTCAAAATGTTTATCGAAGAAGAGGATTTATGCCCAAAGCAGTTTTAGTTGGCACAAATCATGCTGACATTATTGTTGGTCTTACGTTATTTTAAGAGGGGAGTTGTTTTAATGTTGTTAGCTTTTGGTTACATTGGAGCATGTTGTGAGGATGTCACTTTGCACATTAAGTAGATTATGTTCATAGTCAGTGTATAAACTCCTTGAACCATTTTGGAGAGAGACAGTCACTGTAATGTGCTAATAAGAGTTTATATTTATTTATATTTGTAAGATACCAAATTATTGCTGTCCAACTTGACTTTCCATTTGCTGGATGAATACATCCGTTGTTGGTATAAGCTAGAAGATTTTTCTCCCATTGCGACATAAGACCATAGCTACATTCACGGCACTGAAGTTCTAGATAGTAGTTTATTTATAGATTGCATTATGAAATACAAGGGATTCTTTGGAAACTATTTTTAATAAACTAGATTCCTCTGCATTGTTCGTGAGAGTGCTGCGACCAAAATAATATAAAACAGAACAAGTCATGAGTAACAGGAAAGAATCACTAGTTTTTCACATAGCTTTGTACTTTGCTTTGTTATTGAACCATGATTCCCTGAACGCATCACAGGCAAGAGCTGTTCTTGGCTCCTGTTGTATTTACCTTTGCCCTGTTGTCCAAACTGTTATCTGCGCGCCTGCTGATGGATGACTATATTTTGTACCTCATCACCCCATAATAACAGTACCATGAGCTTGAAAACACTTTTGTTACTTTTGGTCTTAATTGACTGTTGACATGTGATTGTTATTGTCACTGTCTTGCTTCATATTTTTTTGCAGTCTGCGTCTTTAGTTACAGACAAATGAGGACAAATGGGATAGGATTTCTGCAAGACGTGTTTTCCCACTATTTGTAGGGCATAGCTGTATCACTTTTCAACATGAGCTAAACAGCCTCCAGGCAAACGCTGGGATTGTTATTGGATAGATTTTGGTGGGTCATTTCGCATGCAAAATGTGGACACCAAAATCAGAACTTGAAAACAAGGAATTAAAGCATCTTTCATTATTGAAAAATATGTGCTACATTGTAAGTGATTGTGCTTTATAACATGCACTTGCATTTGGTGAAATGGTTATTTGTTTCATCATATGTTTATTTCTATTCAACTTTTAAAAATTCTAAGTGAAATTACTGCTACTACTGCTACTATTAATACTGAAAATTACGCTTATTATTATTGCCAATATTTTATTACTTTTATTTATTGTGAATACAATTTATACTTCTTCTACTACATACAAATACTTATCCCTGCTTCTTGTTCAGAAATTTAGTCATCAGGAACTGAAGAATGTGTTTTAACTGTATCATGTATATATATAACATATTAACATTTGTTGTCATACAGGTGCACTGCCCGTGGTCTTGAAGGTTGTCAGAAAAGGTGAATAGCTGCTTGTCATATTAATATTAACTGTGACTAATGTATGTTGGCTCTATTGGTTAATGGTAACTTCAACTAAATCCACTTTTGTACAATCTTGTTTTGTTCAGTCTGTCTAACGTGTCCATGATCACTGCTGGAGTCGTTGGAGGTCTGCTGGCCGCGCTGGTCGCTGGTTTGTCTGTTTTTGTGTTGCTACGGCGACGGCACATCAAGAGGAAGAGGACCATGAGGAGACTGCTGCAGGAGAGGGAGGTACGACGACAATTTATATGGATGGTGCATGTAGAAATAGACCTGTCATGAAAATGATTACATTGACTTACATTGAGAAATTATTTAGAGTTATATAATTGCCTTACCCATCTTTTATTTTTATATATTTTAATAGTAAGTACACCTACAACAGTGGTTCTCAAACTTTTGATACCAAGTACCATCTAAGAAAATATTAATGTTTATTATAGTTATATTTATATTTAAAATATAACTATAACTAACTATTGTGTTGCTGTTTTAGCTGGTTGAGCCTTTAACACCAAGTGGAGAAGCACCCAACCAAGCCTTACTACGAATCCTAAAGGAACCAGAGTTTAAGAAAATCAAAGTGCTTGGATCTGGGGCGTTTGGTACAGTTTATAAGGTAATAAAGCGCAGCATGTTACTAAATACATGTGTACACTCAACAGCAGTGAAAACACATTATTCAAAGTGCCAAAAACTATAATGGTAATGGCATCAGTGTTTGCTTTCGGACGTCTGTTAACAATTTTCTAATTACACAACACAAACTTTTCTTGCCAAATCACGCACAAGCAACTCCACCTCCTCTTACTCACTGATGTAGTTACTAATGCACTGTGACTGAATGCTATGACCAGTATAGTCTGTGTCTTTCCATATCTTTACATTAGTTATTTATTGAAATCCATATTCATTACTAGGCAGAGAAAGCCAAAAAATGTACTCAAGTAAAAATACAGTTAAGATAATAGTACTCATGTAAATAGTTCAAGAAGTTACAGGTTAACTATTAGAGAATTTAGGGAGTAAGTGTAAGTGAAACTGTCCAGACACAACATGATTGATCATTTGAAATGTAATCTGAACAATTATTTAAAAAAAAGAAAATAAAAAGACTATTAATTCTAGCAGTTATTGCCCCTAAGGATATAATGTTTTATTTAGTACTGTATATATAGATGTATTGGCTTTTTTACTTCGTTCAGTTTCCTTTCTTTCTCATGGGTCACATTCATGTAAAATAACAAATCTTTGTCCGTTCAGGGCCTGTGGGTTCCAGAGGGAGAGGACGTCAAGATCCCAGTGGCCATTAAGGTTTTGAGGGAAGCCACATCACCAAAAGCAAATAAAGAAATCCTGGATGTAAGTTTTTCCAATTTATGCGGTAATTTTTTTTCCTTCTTTTTATGTGAGACTTCCTAAGGTATTTTAAGTATTCGCTCCCTTGGGAAACTAGCACATTCTTCATATTAGTTTTGTTAGCTAGTGTTCCACTGACAGGAGTACTTACCAGATACACACTTTACTCTAACATGTAAAGCTGTGCCAAAGTCTTAGATCGATAGTGGGGACAGAGAAATGTGCTTTACAAGATTGAAATACAATGTTAAAATAATAAAATAATAATAGAACAAAACAGTATATGCTCAAAAGTAAATTATGTGTTCTTTTACTTGCTCCTGCTCATTGGATGGATCTAAACATCAATTTCCATCTTTTCCCAAAATGAATGAATTTGCCCTTAATCCACAAGTACCTGAAGTCATTATTATAAAACTGAAAATAAAATGATGTCACCCTTGACTTAACTGCATTTTCTCACCTCATTTAAAGGTGTACTGCCTGCCTGTTTCTATAAAGATATTATTGCTTTTCCCTTTAATGCTCCTTGCTAGGGCTTTAAAATGTATCCATATCCAGAGAAACAAGAAGGTGGTATCACTAGGTCAAATTTAATGTCAAATCTATGGAGAGGTGATCCCACTCACAGTAAAATGCATGTTTTCCAAAATATGTTTGAAAAATCAAAGACCGGTAATGTAATAAATGTCGGACATTCCAGGCAAAGCAATAATATTTTCATGACAAACAGAAGTTTACACAGTGCATGCTTTTGCCCTCTACTAGAACTGCCCATTGTCCGATTATGTATCGCAAAGCACTAACTTCATAATATCACCTTCTATTTTATTTACCAATTTGTCTACTCTGACTAGTTTTCTCTGTAATTCACAGCAGATGTAATGTTATTGAAAGGAAATAACTTATTTAACTTAATAATGATGTAGTCTATGTGTCATGTTTTGTCCCATGAGGCCTTAGGAAAGGGGAATATTTGGTTGGAGGGAGGAGGGTGATCCAAGGCTGAGGTGTCCCAAACTGGAATGCAAATTTGTGGCGGCTTCTCTGGGAAACTGTCCATAGTCCTGTCCAGAACCCTGAATGTGCATTTTCAGTCCTGTGATTTTGTGGTGGAGTTGCTCAGTCATACAACATCTGGAAACAGGGGTGGATGAATGAATGACTTAAGGGCGCAGGGTGGCTATTTAAAGGGATAAACATTTTTAAATATGCTTTGAACCTGTTGGCGTGCTAGGTTTTATGTTTGAATGCCAGCAAAATGACAGGACGGCAGGTTTCAATTCAAAGAATAGCCATTTTGTGTGTCATGGGCTATTATTGTTATGGGCTATTGTTATGAACTGAACATGGCACATCTAAGCTTTTCAATACTGAATTTCCAGCAGCTTTCTACATGTATAGTTTCTTTATATGTAAAAAAAAAAAAAGGCTGAAACTCCAAGGTAAATTTTCTTTTGAAAGGTCTGTCTGCTTTACACTTCTATCTTTTAGCGAGTGTTTTATTGCTAAAAAAATCCTTGATAAATATGCATATGCATTCTTACTGTGAGCTTCTCTGTATGTAACCGAGTTACAGGTAAGATATTTTCAAGGTTGATATTATTAAGGAAAGTTACACTGATTTCTCTGAATAGCGTCAACTTGTCCTCTCTGCTTGTTTTATTATATCAGTTTTGTTTATCAGTCTCACAATCCACAGATACTTGTGTTTGGTGAGTTTTTGACTCTTGCTGAATGGTTGTGTGAGAGAGTGGAGTGCTGTCTGTCCCTGTTGTGCTGTCTGAGATTGTCCAGAGATTACCCCACCTAAGGGCCATTACCGCTGAGTATGACTCCGGCCATGCCAGACACAAAGGCAACGTGGCTAAGACAATATGAATAAATGAGGTATTAGGATTATTGTGCTCTTTAGAAGAGTCACGGACAAGGGATGGATTTTAATTTGTATATTAAAGTGAGTACACACTATATCAAGATGCAGAAATATTTGTGTTATAGTTAATTGTGAGATTATTTGATTAAAATGCACTTTTTGATGGTTTTTGTCCTCTGCTGTTTAGTTTTTTGGTTGTTATCATGAAAGAAAATATTTATATTTCAATTATATTGACAAATGAACGGAAAAATATATTGACATCATGGAGAAACATTGGTTTACTTAGCTTACTTAACTTTAATTTGATAGATTGTTGATTGAATCCACTGTTTTTGCTTCATAGTTTTATTGTTATTCATGTTTGGTGAAATAAATTGAATGCAATACTTATTTTAAATGAATTACCTGGAATGACATCTAATCAGCAATACGTATGAAAAATATCTGGTTGTTAACAGTTGTATTTCCTCCCTGTGGCCCCTAGGAGGCTTATGTGATGGCGAGCGTGGAGCACCCTCACGTGTGTCGTCTGCTGGGCATCTGCCTCACCTCCACAGTGCAGCTGATCACTCAGCTTATGCCCTTCGGCTGTTTACTCGACTACGTCAAAGAGCACAAAGACAACATCGGCTCCCAGTACCTGCTCAACTGGTGTGTGCAAATCGCCAAGGTGAGAAAGGAAGACCACGATACGAAAGTTGTGAGGGGTCAGACTCAAGTGAAATTGATGCAAGAAAAACTGAAACATGATATGGATATGGATATGGATTTTCACCCACCCTTAAGCACACTGTATACAAAGAGCTAACCTTTATTTTTTTATCAAGAGAGACATATACATAGTGTTGGATCAAAAATACTAAACAAGTAAAAGAGAAAGTAATTTCTTAGATAAAAATACTTAAAGGGCCCATATTGCTATTTTCCTGTCTGTGCTATAATGTTGTTTTCTCATCAAAAACATACTTGAAGTTGTGTTTTGTTTCATTTACACATGTGCCACTGTGATTTTAAATGCCATACACCTTCACTAGAATCATTTGGATAATTTTAGCCCTGGAATTGCCAATCGCAACTGAACAAAAGGGAAAAGGTAGCTGCTAACTTTAAAACTAGCACTACATGACATCACAAGGTGGGACAGAGCATTTGGAGCTTTGATGAGAGATGTAGACATACTAATAATAACACACGTGTTTGTGATTACACAAACACGTGTGAATTAAACAATTCCAGGTAAGTTTTTGATGAGGAAACAATATTCTAACATAACTAAAATTCACGAGTCAATTTTGTGTAATAAGGACTTTTAAAAATATGTAAAATGTTTATGTTGTGTTTACTGAATATCACTTCTTATGTTGTTTTAGTGCTGTTATAAGCAGGGAAACACAAAAACATATATCCATACTCCAAACAATCAAAATTGGACAGTTGGAGACACACTTACCCAAATCTATCATTCAGATTTAGACAACTGGTAAAAACTGAGCTTCGGTAAATCAAGTTATTTTTCTGCCCACTTCTGGTCAAATCATTGTTACACTAAATCATAAACTATGAATAGAATTGGCAATTTAAACTCTTCAGCTGCAGTGTGGGCAGACTAAAACAGATTCCCATGGTTCCTGCCTGGTTTTCTTCACTGACTCATTGTCATTCATTGTTATGACCTGAGCACCATTTAATCTAAACCATATGATATGAGCTTCAGCGTGATTAGACTATACTGACATTTTTAAATTATCACTGTAGTTATGACAGAATTGGAAAAAATGATAAATATGCAATTCTCAAATATGGGATTCAAACCTAGGTCTTTTAATTTATCCACAAACCTACATATTTATTATGTTTATTCCTTTTTTGTCTGTTACTACCTGTCCAAAATGTATACCATAATTCAACAATATCTATTTGAACTACAATGCTAAGAAACCAAACAAAAATAAAATCTTTTTGCAACAATTTGTCTTGATATGAGGGGTGACAGTAGCTCAGCTGGTTGAGTAATCGTCCTCTGATCCGAAGGTTGATGGTGTGATTCCAGCTCCTACAAATGAATACTGTAATTGTGTTCTTGGGCAAGACACTTAATCTACCTTGCCTTGAGTGTCTGTGTACACTGGTGTATGAATGTGTGTCAGTGTGGTTCCTTGATGTAAAGTGCTTTGAATGAAGGTGGAAAATTGCAGTATAAAAATGTGACCATTTACATATATTGGGATTTCCTTTGCTTATAGTCCATTATATTTCAGTGTAAAAAGTTTTCATCATCTTAGTATGATAACAAATAATGATGAACATCCTGCTAACTCCCGTGAGAAAATGTAGTACATGTAGGTTCTTTTATCCTGTCAAGTCATGAAAAGATTTGGATGCAATGAAAGCCATAATTACACAGTATTAATCCAACTACTGCTTATGTCTTCTTTGTTTGTCTAAAGGGCATGAACTACCTGGAGGAGCGGCACTTGGTTCACCGTGACCTGGCAGCAAGGAACGTTCTGGTGAAGACTCCGCAGCATGTAAAGATCACCGACTTCGGCTTGGCCAAACTCCTTAACGCAGACGAGAAAGAGTACCACGCTGACGGCGGCAAGGTGAGAGGAGGTCATGCCAGAACATGAAACAGGACTGTACAAGACTGTAGACATTATTTTGTTTGTATTCATTTATTCTGTTTAAAGCTTGTGTTCAGCTTTGGACCATGATAAAAGTGTTTCAGTTTGAGATATTGGCTCCACCTGCTTAATTTGTCAATGTGATTTTGCACTGTGATAGAGAACGCAAGCAACTGCCTTGGACCAGCCCAGACAGTTACTTCCACTCTAATTTGGAAATTAATGCAATCCAACAATGTGCCTTATTGGACAAATTGGGAGTCACGCCTAGTTGTGTTTTTCTGATAAAATGCATATGCAATATCATGCAATTATTATTTTCAATTAGCTGCATATGCAAAACATTTTTTTCTGAACTAAAAAAAATAAAACTTACATAAAGTGCCTTAAATGTATTCGTTTCATTTGTAGACAATCTGACAGAAGAAAAAAACAAGGAAGGAAGCAAAAAAAAAAAGCAACAATCAATCACAAAAAAACAATAATCAATCACAAATTATTCAACAAAGAAATCCAAACGTACATAAATACACTGTGCAAGTGTTGACAGATTGACAGATTGCATTGATTTCAAAATTATGTAACTGTTAAGCAGAAGATTTATGTCTGTCAGAATGTAGGTATTATGCTTTCAAAACTCATCAAAAGATTTATGATGGGTCTTATTAGTTTAAGTCATAGAGTAACTAGTACCACCAATTTGGAATATATAATAGAAAAGAAAAAGAAAGTTGAATTAAAAATGTAAATCACAAACTATTATTCCAATGCATGTTATGATGATAATTGAACTAAAAATCAACTCTATTTGTCTGCATGGAACAACACTGATGCATAACATTTGTGGTTAATCCAGGGCTGTATTTCAAATCTGTCAAATGTTTTTACAGTATTATTTTATCCAGGCATGTGGTTATTACATCTATTAACCACTAGGAGTCAGCGCTGTTACACATGCCATAATTGCTTCCATCTGTTGTAGAGGTATGCCAATGACAAATCCAGATGTGCAGATGTTATTAGGAGATGATGAAGTTGTCACTCTTTCTGGCTGAGGTTTTCCTGCTGTGCACCTCACCACTCAGATTTATCAATAAAATGTGTCATGAATATTCTTTGCTCACATAGTAACTTATTTGTTACTTTCTGTTTTCAAGGTACCAATCAAATGGATGGCTCTTGAATCGATCTTGAACAGGACCTATACGCACCAAAGTGACGTGTGGAGCTATGGTAAGGCTATTTTCAGGTCAGCAGTTTACAATGAATTGATGTTTTAAACTTCAGGTTGTTTCAGGTACAATTAAATATTTTTAGTGTAAAAAGAAAATGTACAAGAAGAAAATGCTATTAAAACTATATATCACATAAAGAGAGGTAAAAAGTAATGTATGTAAAACTCAGTTACTTGTGATACAGATACTCTTGGTGACAATGTTATTTGAGATTCTGCACAGTGATACACATGGTACATTACATATGCAGTAAAAAGTACGGTCTCTGATTATTTGGGCCAATTCAGGAGGAGCTGCATTTGGCCCGTGGGCCTTCACTAATGTTTAGGGTTTGAACTGCACTATAATTTTAAAGCATTAGATTATATGTTTGTTAAATGCAATTAGAAATGTGTATTTACAATGTTTACATAATTTAAGATGCATCCAACATCTGGTCTCCTGTACACTTCAGTATCTGCCTTTCTGTGGGAAAATACTTTTTATTGTACTTCTGCTACTATTTATTGCTTCAACAAGTGTTTTAACATTTAGATGATGTTTATTTCAGTATTCACTTAGTTGTTTTTGGCTCATCTATTTTCATTTAAAGATCATTCTAGCATGTGTAGTTTTAGGAGACAGGTAGCACAAATCTCCACAGCAGTAGTCTCAAATGGACAGTATTAGAACATTACTTTTTCTCATCCCACATGGACAGATTTTGGGACATCTGCCTCTCTCTCTCTCATCCCCAGGGGTTTGATCAGTTCTTCCGCTCAGTATGGAAGGCACATTAGCAACACTGGCACAAGTCCTGGGTTTTTGAGACTTTCCCGACTTCTTTTGCAGATCCTCCTCCACTCACTCCCACTAATGCACTACAGCCAATTTGTAAACAGGAGCTATTCAATTCAATTGCACTCAATTCAATGCACTTAGAGAAATAACAAGATATGCGTGAGATTAAACCAAAAGCTATGCCGTCAATTAATGTTCATTTTAAAGGCACCTCAATGTGTAATTTTGGGTTGTCCAGTTTTCAGTACTTCAGGTTTTTTTTGCAATTATTCAATAAATATTTTAGGCAAGGTGAGAAGAGCTAATTAAAGTCTCTGTTCATACTTGTTACACTGGAAGCAACACATTTGTAAAGTGGTCTTACTTATGTTCCTGTTTTGTAGGCGTGACTGTATGGGAGCTGATGACTTTTGGGACTAAACCATACGATGGGATTCCTGCCAGTGAGATTGCTGGAGTCCTAGAGAAAGGAGAGCGCCTCCCCCAGCCCCCCATCTGCACCATCGATGTCTACATGATCATGGTGAAATGTAAGCCATGCATGATCAGTGTCATGAGAATGTTATATGAGGCAAAAGAGGCAAAACTTATCATATGTAGCGTGAGTTTAATGCTCAGGTTAACTCCAAAAAACTACAATGGTGCTATCTATTAATGGTAAACTTTGCTCACATAAACTTGTTCAACAAAATGTCTGAAAATATTCTTGTAGTAGTTCCAATACATACAGAACTTGTAATATTGCACTTGTAGTAAAATACCAATGGATTTTGTTGCATTGAGCAATACAGTGCAACAATTGTAATTAATAATAACTATATTGTCTATTAACAGGTTGGATGATTGATGCAGATAGTCGGCCCCGTTTCCGTGAACTCATCGCGGAGTTCACAAAAATGGCTAGAGACCCTTCACGTTATCTTGTTATACAGGTACATGCACTTTAAAAGCAACAATATATAATATAATATTATGAAACCTGTCATATCAGTTTCCATAAACTACTGCGTTTCTTGAGGCACTGACTAATCCTGCTAAAAATTTCTATATGTTTGTACTGCAGGGTGACGAGCGCATGCACCTGCCCAGCCCCTCAGATGGCCGACTATTCCGCAGCCTGATCAGTGGAGAGGAGATGGAGGACGCAGTGGACGCAGATGAATATTTACTGCCTCAAAATGGCTTCTTCAGCAGTCCCAGCACATCACAGACTCCACTGCTACACTCAACGGTAACGCCCCAATGTGCAGGACTGTGCCAAAGGGTTAGGCAGGGTTTAAGGCCATAGAGATATGTAGATTATAACATAAATGTATTTAGAATAGTAACAGGCAAAACTAGAAGCAAATTTAACAATATTATTATAGTTATCAAAGTTATCTCAAAGTAAAATATATGTACTGGTGGTATGTAGAGCCTGGAGTGCTCGAAACCTCTCATTCATTTTAATAGTAAGTTGTGACAGTTTCCCTCGAACTGTGCCTCCACCTTCACAACACATTCCTGAGGAGTGAGAACAAAACTAGTATTAACACTAAGCCTAAACCATGGGCATTGCTTGGAAACATCTGAGAATTTGCCAATGGTTTGATCACTTTTTAATGTTCGATTTGACACTCACTACCCTAAAAATTAAATTAAAGTAAATTGGCAAAACTGGTCCTAAAATAACTTGAAGTGTGTGGCTCCAATCCCAGATTCACCAGTTCATTCTGTTTATCTGTTGATGAGTGAGACATTCAAACACTTTTTCCAACCAATGTTTAACTACATGAAATTAGAAAATTGTTGCTTTTAGTGGATTTATTACGTATTATTAATAACTTAGACTTTGCAGATCAACACTTTATTTATTTTCCCCTAAATTAGGAAACAAGATGCAAATTTGAATAGCTGACTTGTGTTCTATGGTTGATGGAAAAAGTGACTCCATGTGTAGGAGTAGTCCATGTGAAAATTGCACGTTTAATTTTACTCTTTAAACTCCTGCCGCCTGCTCCAATAGTTTGTGAGTCAGATTGGAAAGACACATTTGAAAGTGATTCGTTTTCACAGAAGCAGAATGGTGTCTGTTAAAGTGCTGAAACTTGATCTTGTTGACCCGCTTGTACCTGTTTTTCTCTGACCCTGCGTACCCCCAAAATCACTCCACTGGGACCCATTCTCCTCCTTCTGAACCTCATCTCACCCCCACCTTTATCATCGTCATCACCCTCCCCCCGTTTCCTCCCATCTGCTCTTTGATTGATGAGAAAAATGTCCATGAAAGTTCACTGGAAGTCAGAGAGGACAAGTGCTGGTCAAGTTTTTATTATTATATGCAATATCAATGCAGCATGAAAATATACTGCTATGGTGGTTTTGTTGCTCCACCTAGAGGACATTGAGGCTGTGTTTAGTATGTAAATGTCAAACTAAATTATGTTTTAAAGGGCATATATTATGTTATAATCATGTTTCCTCATCAAAGACATATCTGGAGTTGTTTTCTTTCATTTTGTTTCATTCTTACAAACCCTGTGTTGCGTTCTTCTCTCAAAACTTTGCTCCACCTTGTGATGTGACATGTGACTCCCTACACTTTCACTAGAATCATTTGGATATTTTCAGCCCTGGAATTGATCATTTCTACTGAGCAAAAGGTAAAGGGTAGCTGTTAACTTGAAAACTACCACTTCATGACATCATAAGGTGGAACAGAGCATTTTGAGCTTTGGAGATGCAGACAGACTAATACAGTAATGCAGGAAGAAGAATCCATTCTATGTAAAAATGTGTCCAGTAAACAATTGTAATAATCTTATATAAAACAGCCCAATCATATGTAGTCTAAACCAGGATCCACTTTGTCAAATACTAAGCTAGAACTAAGCCAAAATTAGCCCAGTTTAGTGCTGTCCTAGACTTGGTTTAGGCCATGTATAGTCCTGGTTTAGTTCAGTGTAGTCCCATTTTTTATATCAATTATGTGCAAGTGTGAATGCACGTTAAGTCAGGACTAAGCTATAACTAAAATGTGACCAGGATGACACAGCATTTTAAAGGTGCTTTATGTAACTTGTCTCCATGGAGAAATTTTGCTTTTGTGTATTAGTACATAATGTGCATAAGCTTACCTCGCCTGTAACTTGATGGCATATTTTTCAATAACATCTTCATAGGAAAGAGCAGAAAAGTTACATAGTTCACCTTTAAAGCTTCATTTTGTTCCTGTAGAGCCTATTAATATTACAGTTGTTAATACCTGAATAACCTAACTTCACTTTTGGCTGCTCCCCCGCTCAAACTTTCCCTGATGACATTAGCAGGCCAATCTTCAGCCCACAATGGACGTGTTATTGTAATACAGTCAGGGCACTGTTCTGGATGGGCTCAGAAATCTCTTACAGATGGTGACTTGGACCTTATGTTTAATTTCCTTTTCTTGTCGGAGGTAATTGCGCTGCCACAGCTGTCACTCCGCGTTCTTTATCGCTGACTTCCACGTTTTAGCCTGCGTTTCTGATGTGAGACGCTGACACATACAACCAAAGCATGTCAGATTGCTTAAATGAATAGGGAACTGCCTTCTGGGTGTTTATTTTCAGTGCTGTTAGAAACATATGGTGTAGTCACTATAGGCAAACTTTTCTGTTTTTCAAGTAAATTAAATGTACTTTCTCCATCAAGTCAGAATTCAAATGAACCAACTTTATGTAGATTAAGTTAGTGAACAAAGTGGATTACACAATAAGTTACTAAATACACTGAAACTGTTTGCTGTTCTTGTGTGTTGCAGAGTATGAACAGTAGCATTGGACCAACATGTAATGGAAGGAACGGTGTACTGGTAAGAAAAATACTTAAGGTGCATTGTATAACTTTTCTGGTGGAGGACCTGTCAAATGCTTTTCTTTGTGGAGATGTTCTTGCTTTGTCTGGAATGTTTCAAAGTATGGTATAAAACCCTTCTCTTTATGGAGACCAAACCAGATCAAGGTAAAGGTCAGATCTGCGGAGAGGCAACCTCACTCACAGTTAGAATATCTGTTTTTCTAGGTATTTTTGAGCTATAAAACCGCTGCTTATTTAATAAATGTAAGGTGGAGCTAATTAATATCATACTGTAGAACATTCAAGGCAGAGCAATGACATATCCATAAAAACAAGCAGGTGATGGACCTAACAATGGACCCAACTAAAAAGTTACATAGTGTACATTTAATTTTTAAATTATGTAACATTTCTGACAGGATTGCCCAACCTTCAACCTGCATAATATTATTGTGTCACTTACTATGTTTCTCAGTAAGGCATTAAACTTATCTATATTGCAGTTATAAAATGTTAAGTGTTTTTATTGCTCAAAAACTGAGAGAGTTCACCTTTCCACACATCTGATCTGTCACTTATCTTGGTGGCGTCACCTGCTGGTCTTCATGGAAAAACATCTCCATGTACACAAGCAGACTGCATACCCTCTACCAGAAAAACTGTACCTTTCACTCACTTATTTTTGTACAAAAATTTTAAAAAGTAGCAATCTGGACTATGTCTTTTGGGTGAGAGGCAAAATGTGTCCAACTCATTCCCTAATTCAGAGTTATTCAGTTTTTGAGCAGAATTTGAAAAAAGCAATTCAGTTCAAATGCCTTTTAGTTAGTTAGGTTGGTTAGTGTTTTTAGCTCCTGTTTTCTCACTTTCTATCTTTTACAGAATGGGTTACCGAGCAGAGACGGGAGCCTGGTTCTGCGGTACATTCCTGATCCCACAGACAAGTTCCTGGACGGAGCTTTCCAGCCTGCTCCAGGTGAGTGGGCCCTACTACCAATCTGTGTCTTTAGTTTGTACATTCAGACCACTCTCTGTAAAAACCTGTACTGGCTGTTTTAGTGAAAAGAGAGACATCTAGTGGATTAAAATATAGTTGACAAGGTTTGGTTTTTGTTTATCTGAGCCTCCATGGAGATTAATATTACTTCCCATAGTGTGCAGGGGAAAAGATTAGATACATTCTTTATTGATCCCAAATGAAATTTAACCTTTTACTTTCTCATTCTAACACCGAATTGAACTTACATATGAAAAATGGTTTGTACATGGGTGTTCTTTGTCGCTGCTGTCAGAACCCTTGGATGGGGCATATTTGTTTAGTACCGGCCCATTCATACCTCACATAGTTGAAGCAGGTGTTAAAAAGACAACGTTAGTTCTGTACAGTGTGTACTAGATTACATAACGGAAAAAGCTTTTCATTTTTACCATGTTTTTAAATGTGTGAGTAAATGATTATCAGAAGGACATCATTTTTGCTTGTGCATTATTAAATAGTAGGTAACACTCAATATGTTAAAGAAAATTTCTACACCAAACTTATTAACCATTTGTTCATTATGAATGAAGTCTGTGCTCATGCTTTATTAAGGCTAATTAAGATGTTGTTATTCTTAAATTTGTAAATTAAAAGATAAATACATTTGAAAGTTGCAGAAAGTTGCTAAATTAAATGGGGTTAATTGAACTGACTACTAACTATATGTATGTTATGCAAGTAGAAATACATTGTTGAATGAATAGATTTTAACATGTATTTCAATGTATTTTTCTTTTTTTTTTAATTTGTCCTTCAGACTACATAAACCAGAACGGAGTCTCAGATGTGATGAACCCCAACTACCAGCAGCCCGGTCCCCCACGCAGCCTCCTCTCCCCCATCTCCTCCACTTCCGAAGACCCAGAGTCCGAGTACCTGAACTGCTTTAAGACCGAGCCCTCTGGACCTGAATACCTGAACCAGATCCCTGCCCCTGCCCCTTCTATCACCTCAAACGGGATACCCCTTAACCACTACCCCCAAAAATACAACCCACAGACAAGCCTGGACAACCCGGACTACCAGCAAGACTTTGTACCGCTCTTTAAAACACACACAAACGGACATGTCCCTGCGGCGGAAAACGCAGAGTACTTGGGACCAGACTGATGACCATATATGGGAGTAAAAAAATATATTACCTGCCCTGTTATGAAGGCTATATCGTATGCTGGAAAAGTTGTTCTGGTTGTAAGTATGTAACCTATTTAATAAGGTGACACTTGCCTTTGGGCGGTATCTGACGCAACCACTTTTACAAGTAGAGGTGGTTGAATGATGGTTTATTATAATGTAAGCCAATCAAACTGAAAATTGTGGGACTTCCAGGCTTGGTCCCATTGAAACTAAATAGAGAGCCACCCTTATTTGCATACTATGCCCCATTTCAAAGGCTACAGGACACTTGAGATGGTACAGAAATGGCAAAAGATATAATCAACATTGTACTTGATGAGTAATATAAAGACACTTGGATTAAATGGTGGTGATGAAAAGCTTATGGTGCAATGCAAAAGACTATAACAGAAAGCCTGACGACACTCCCCCAAGTGGATGAAGACGAAAATGCATTTTTGTTCTTGAGATTGTTAAGAGGAAAACTGGTGAATTATAGAGCTTTAACAGAGCAGACATTATGACCACTGATACCAAATCATAATTTTATTAATGGATTATATATAGGGCTGCACGATACTGGAAGGTATTGCAATAACAGTACACTTGACAAAAAGCTATTCATTTCAGTTATAATAAAACTAAAAGTACATGCTTTAATTTACTAGACAAAACCAAGAGTAAATCTAATTTTGGATTTGATGAGGAAAATCTTGAAAATTAGTGTTATTTAACATATTAATTAAAAATATATAGAGAGATATTTTTGTCAGATGGAGAACCTTGGTGTTAATGCAATATATTTAGTTGCGATATTGATTATTGCTTCAGCCAATGTTAGCCAAAGTGCAATAGTTCAATATTAATACTTTCGCAAGTATGCAACCCTTGATGTATATTACG